TCAGTAATGTACAGATTACTACCTGGATGTTTTGTGGGCACCTCCAACTTACTGTGTCTAAATGGTTAATCCAAGTTCCCTTCTATGAATCTGTGCATATATATGGAATCATTTATGCAATAGTCTATTTTGCATTTGATCTTGACCTCAGATTTTCATCTAGCACCTCATTCTCCACTAAAACACCATTCTGTTATTTTTTGAAATCTTCCGGAGATGTTTCACATGTGTTCAAAAAAAAGAAAAAGCAGATGCTTTACCTGCAAGCATCTGTTGTTCATCTTCTTATCATTGGTCAACCAAGAGAAAATGTCAGAAAGTGCTGGAGCCCTTATTGTGCCATGACTGATTTTATGTTTCATGTAGAAATGGAGGAAATTCTCGTATCCCCCACCCATTTCTTCATACTTTATCACTGTGTGTAAATCTGCTTTGTGTGCCTCTGTGAGGAGATGGCTACGTGCCGACTGTTCATTATTTTCCTTTCAGAATACATATTTATTGCTAGGAAGCAATGCCCGCCCAAGGACTTCACCACCATCCCTCCATTTCGGTGTTTGTTGTATGAATAATATTTGCCAAGATTCTTAAACTATTGTGTTTTCTCGACCTTTTCTTTTATGTCTACTAACTAGATACAAAAGATGTTGAGTCCTAGGGGAAGGTCAGAGTCACTGGAAGGAGAAGCCTGATTCCTTGAATCACTATAAAAGACCACCTACCAACCAGGAATACTCACATTAGTGCTTGAACAAGAACTAAACTTCTGTTATATAGTAAACAATTAAAAATTTATTCTAGTAGCTGATGTTTCCTAACTAAAACAGTGCCCCTGTGTATTACATAGCCCTTCGTTAAAACAGCTCCTTTATCATCTTCCTGCATTCCCTTTCTCCAAAAGCTCAATGGGGCTCTCCATGAGGCTGTGAGGGAACAGATGCCGTATACTTTCCAGTTTACATCTGTTCTACTCTTATCTTTTCTCTGCCTGATCTTCCAAACCTTTTAGACTTGGCAGCATTGTTATATATGCTCGGAATACAAACCATTATGAAAATAGATGTAGATTTCCAAATACCCTGAATTCCTTTCTTCTTCTGCCCCAGTTGCTCTTCCTACTGGCTTTAATTCTCAAACTCAGTGAGTGGTACCATCCTCCTTTTCGGTACTGATCCTTGGAGACTGTGCCTTAAACTCTTCCAATTCCCTCATCTATTTTTTTCACCTAAGCTATTTATTTATATAATTCCCTCTATTTTTTTTCACCTAAGTCCATTAACCCATCTTTCACTAGTCCCCAGCTTTACCCTTATTGCAGTTACTTTCCTTCAATTGTTGATCCTCACTGTGTCTTCAGGCCATCAATATTTAACACTAAGCAGTTGACCTGCCCTGCATCTGTGGAATAAACCCTACTTGATAATGGTGTGTAATTCTTTTTTATATATTGCTGAATTCTACTTGGTAATATTTCACTAAGGAGTTTGTCATCTATATTCATGAGGAATATTGGTGTATAGTTTCCTTTTTGTACTGTCAATCTTTCTTTGGCTTTGTATCAGGGTACTATTAACTTCATAAAATGATTTGGGAAGTATTTCCTTTAAAGACTGTAGAATTCTCCACTGAACCATCTGTGCCTGGAGTTTGCTTTTTGGGGAAGTTTTTAAATTATGAATTCAGTTTCCTTAATAACTTAAAAAATAGTCATTAGAGGCTCTATTGTGATAAAAAAATCTTTTCCTTCTGTCCTTTTTCTTAATCTGACACATCTTTGTGACTTCAATGCTATGTAGAATTTAGGTTGGCACATTTCATACAATGTTTCATACTTAGCTTGATCATTATATTCTTTCAGTAAATAAGGTCTTTAGTATCCTGTCAATGCAGAGATAGGTAATTATTGCTATTATGAATAGTCTTTTAAACGACTTGTGGTTTTTTGGTAATCTGCCACTGGAAAGGCTCATTGAGCTGAGCTATGTGCCATCTTCAGCAGGAGTCTGGGAGAACAGGAATTGCCATGGAGACCAGTGTCCATCTTCAGTGTTGGGCACATTCGTGAGTGGCCTGCATGTAATTACACAACTCTCAGATTTCACCCCATATTATTTGTAAACTATGTATTTTGTGGTGATTCTGAAATAGCTTGGATAGCAGAGTCTCTATAATTCATTACTCAAACATGAGAAAACCATTACTTCAAAATGCATCTTAAGTATTTTAAATATACCGCCTGTTTGCTCTAAGTGCACTATAAATGTGCTGTAAAGCTTCTCCATTGATCTAAGGGAGTCTCCACAAAAGCTGTGCTGACTTGAGGCAGAACCACTTTGATAAAAAAGAAATAGAACTGCTGAATTCTTAGTAAGTAAAAAGATGGCTGCATTGCAAATAGTCTCATTGGTTTTAGACATTGTCACAGGAGAAAAGAGAGAGAAGTTTACCATCAACATTAGTTAATATTATTGTTCAACTAAGTAAGATTTGATTTTATAAACAAACGTTACTATCAAAAATTCTCTCTTTTAGTGTAGTTTTGGGCATAACACAATGTAATTAATTATCCTGTTTGTTTAAGCAAAGTAAAATCATAATATGTGCATAAATATGTTACTTGAATGAAGACAGTAATGACTTACATTTGCATATTTTCATAATATAAGAAAATTTTAATCATGTAAAATATACAGATTATAATTTAATACATATATGACACAAAAACAATGATTACTTTTAAAAACATGCTAGTTTCATAGTCCACCTAGAGTTTTAGCACTTGAAAAAATAAAAACCCATGCCTAAATAGCATCTTATTTAAAAAACCTTTTAAATTAATTATTAGCTAATTTTCAAAGCAGTTATTTGGGTATATTAAAATTTATAGTTACAGTTCTTTAATCATTATGTTTCTGTATGTAACATGGATATTTATTTAAGAAGTAAAGCATAAAATCTACTTCTTTTCCAAATACTTGATTTTGGAAAAATTAGTAAAAATAATAAATTAAGCTTTGTTGATTGTAGGTGAATCTTTTAAAGGTAATTTTTACATGTATTTGGATTGCTGGAGGAAACCTTTCACAATTCTGTCCCTCGGTGGCAAAGGAGGGTTGTGAACAGAGGAATGCCATAATAGTTTTTGACTATGACAAGAGTTTGAGGTTGTTTAGAAGATGAGATTCCTTTAAAATGATCGAATTTTAAATGTTTATTTAAAACTCAGTAGATACTTGCTGAATATGATATAAGACAACTTGTAAATCCTATGTATTGATAGATGCTTATAGCATCATACATTACTTTGACTTTTATGTTCATTTGTCATAATGAACATAAAAGTCAATTTGAAAATTTTTTTCTAATGTGGTATGTACTCTTAAAGGAATCTCCCAGTTCCTTTTCCTTTTTTTTTTTTCCTTAGTCGTCTGTGGTTTGCCTTTTTCTATTAGACCCTTAAGTTTTGGTATTTCGTTAAGATTCTGTCTGAGGGTCTCTTTCAATGCTATTCTAGATTGTCTAGACAGTTTCAGTGATTCCCATAGTTTTTCAGATTCATTCCTATGGTTTTGTAGATGTGTTTCTTCTATTTGTACCCTTATTCTCTACACTTTACCTATGGGTCCAGTTGTCTATATGACATCTCCCTAATGTGCCATCAGAGTGTTCAGCATTAAGTTCATCTCTCCTCACATTCCTAACCAACTCCTGCAAAGGAGTTGTGGCTTGAGGGTACATGCATATGCATATAAACTATGGATACATATGTATGCCTATATATGTATAGGCAGAATCCACTTCTAAGAAGCAATGGACCTGAAACTGTAATGCCCATCTTTTAAATGCAAATTCTCAACTCAGGTTATGTTCTCTGTAAAGTGATAAACACATCTTCTGAACCAAAATATAAGATGTATAATATGACAATATTTGAAGCCTGAACTTGTTATTTTAATTACACCACATTGCTTTTTCATACCACTTTATTAAATTTATGTCTTTGACCGTATCGTAGGCTGATAGTAATAGCCATATATATAATGTAAAATTGCAATTATGGTAAGTACAAACTGTGTACTATGAGGTATATTTACATACATTGTGTATTTGTGTGATTTCTTCCCTTGCAGATGATGATTCAATTCAATGTGAAGGTTGAGAAGTTCAACAGGCAGGGTTAGGGTAGGGAGTGAATTGCTCAAGGCGGGTGAGAAGGCTTGCACAGAGATCTGGTGGTAGGGGGGTGAATGCTTTGAGAGGGCAGCTGTTTCTGAGGACAGTAATATACAATCTTGTTAGAGATATATTCCCCTTCACTTCTTCCTCCCCCTTTTCTTCCTTCCTTTATTCTAAAAAATATTCGAATCTGAAGTTTACATTAATTTAGTAGTAGAAAGCAAAGTGTAACTGCTTTTTAAACTGCATTGTAAACAATGTTTTGAATTAGAAGAACCATGGAGTTTCAGAAGTAAACTTAGCCTGGACTTATTTGTAATGCAACATGGAAAAAAGAAAGAAAGGTTTTGTGATGGTATTATTTCTACTCTGATTACCTAAAATCCCCCAACATTTATGATCTCTGCCCTGCCTATAGATAAACCAGGGAGTAACTAAATCCTAAGTAATATATTTCAAAATCTTGGCTTAAATTATAAGTGATTTATTTTCTAGGTACATTTTTTACTATAAAATTTAGTATTCCATTTAGTCTGTCTTTGTGTACTGAGAATTAATTCAGGCTATAGAAATCCTATTAGAATGAAAAGTGACTTTTGAACAACACTGAAGAACTCTGGTCTGTGACTCTGTTTATTCTTTGTTCTTGATATGCATTTGTGTTATCCTTCAAAGATAATTCTGAACTTTTGGTTCTCAAATATATTTCTTCAACTCCTACCCAGATCTGGAATAGGAAAATTATATTCCAGGAATAGAAAATAATTTTCAGTGCTTTTATAACTTCCTTATAAAACTAAGTTTATACCTTTTTTTCTTTGCAGAAAGGGCTATTGCAAGACATGAAGTCCGAGAAATTGAGCAACGACATACAATGGATGGCCCTCGGCAAGATATAACTTTAGATGAAGAGGAGGACATGGTGATCATTTATAACAGAGTCCCCAAAACTGCAAGCACCTCTTTTACCAATATTGCCTATGACCTATGTGCAAAGAATAAATACCATGTTCTTCACATCAACACTACCAAAAATAATCCAGTGATGTCACTCCAAGATCAGGTAACAGCATTGGGTATTATATAAATGTTTTTCTGACACCTTTTCACTCAAATTTTCCTTCTTAAATGTCCCTAACTCAAAAGGGCAATACATTTAAAGGAATATATGGGTTTTAAATCTCTTAGAGGAAGATACCAATGAAATTTTCTGTAATTTTACATTCTAAACAGTATTTGGTACTTTGGCTGCAGATAGTATGTATTCAGATATTTATGAAATGAATGAATAAGTTAATATCTTGAATTTTTGAAGAGAAAATTGATGCTTTTAGGTAAGGTATCCTTTAAAACATGAAATATGTTTAGCAAGATGTCCTACAATAATAAGTTATGATATTTCATAACTTATGATAGAGAAACCTTTATTTGATGAATACCTCTGTGCTCTATGGCACAAATTTGTGACTAGGCACCTGAATTCATATTATCATTACTAGTAATTTATATATATATATATATATATATGATATAAATTTCTGGAAAATAGGGATCGTGGCATATTTTTAACATAATCTTGCCTTTTAAGAAATTTTATATAGGGGTCTCCCTGGTGGCACAGGCAGTTGAGCGCCGCACTGTGAAGCTGTCCGCAGCCTCTGCAGCGCAGGTTCAATCCCGGCTGGCCAGCGAGAATCCCACATGGCGCAGCATACCTCTCCTGTCTCTCCCGCTGTGCCGCTTAGCAGTGTATTTCATCAGTCTGCCTGTCCTGTTCCCTGCTCTGTCTCTGGCCCCCTGCACCACTCACCCCCCACACCTCCTGCCTGTACCCTGATTCTTGTGTAAATAAATAAATCTTGAAAAAAAAATTTATATTAACAGATAATTGTATGAAGTAGTTTTAAGAAAAATGGATGAAATTTTCTTATGAAACAAATTTACTATCACTTTAACAAATACCTGGAGTTCAGACTAGAATTATAAATATGTAAAGTTCTCTGCAAATACTGTAGCACGTAGGATTGAATAGAAAAGATAGTATTTGGAAATACTATTTAAGATGAACTATTTAGGACTGACTATACTGGTGTAACCTTTTTAGAAAGGTATTTGTAGTATTAATACAGTTATACTGTATTTATCTATTTGAAAACAGCTGAATTTTTTTATTGTTACAGAATTGATTACCCCACAGTCCTTGCACTGATGCAAGAGAATGGCATTGATAACACACAGTTAACTTCCACTTTCGTGCTAGAGAGCTGTTTATAAGGCTAATAGTATATGGCATATCATCTGCCCATATAATTCTTGGCTCTCTGCAGTATCCTCAATTACTCTTTTTCATGGGACCAAAAGTCTACATTCATCAGCCAAACCAAATAACTCTTTCTGTAAATGAGAAGAAACATGAGCTTATTTAGCTAAGTGGGTCGTAAAAACTATTCATTTCTGTAATATTGTATATTTCAAGGCCAAGTATCCTAAATAATCAGTTTTTATACAGTATGTAGTTGATTTTAAACCTATTTGCATGATTGCTTTTCAGAATAGATCTTGGCTTATGAGGAAAATTTAATGCTCACATAATGATTTTAGATTTCTTTGAGAATATATTTTGGAAAAATTCTGCTAACTTGCTTGGTCAATTTTTAGAATTATTTTGTATTGGCTTTACAAAATTGTCTGGCAGCAACAAGATGTCTCACAAAAAAATGACATCCACCATTTTTTTCATTAAATATAAATCTGCAGAAACTTGCCACAGATGATATTTACAGGCATCATGTAGTGGTACATTTTTCCAGTTACATTTGGAATATGAAACAAAGCTTCTGATTTTCTTTCAATTGCTTGTTCGTTATATATATGGGAAGGCCAGCAGAAGAGAAGCATAAACACTGTCTTAAAAGCAATTGCATTTCATAATCAGCTGCACTTAACACATGTTTGTGTGGGACTGGGTAGAGGAATAGTCTTAATCATTAGCTGACACACTTTAATAAAATTTCAGCTGGTAGTTCAAAACCTGATCTTAATTAGGGATGATTATATACCAAATATTTTCTAATATACCATGTTTAAATTGTTTACTGGTCTTGATCTAGAAGCAGTTCTTCAAACAAGTCATAGTTACTACATTCCTTTTCTTCATGTAGCATATTACAGCATTTTTAGTTTACGTTTAGTAAATATCTAAATGTATACTTTTAAATTATAATCAATGCCTAGAAAATAATTTTTTAAATATTCCTTGAGCCCCATTTTGTATAAAATACTTTAATTTGAATATATCATTTTTTTGGTCTTATGTACTGTTCTCAACTTCATTATTTAAATAAGAATTAAGTGACCTGTTTTACTCTTCCTTCTTCTCTAACAAATAGTTTCTCATCAGTATCTGATTCAAATTAAAGTTAACAGGTAAGATTTTTATTAAATCTGCTGAAGTCTTAGTCTGCCATTTAAAGCCCAGTTTGCTCATAAAATTTTTTTGTAATGTAGTAAGTGACCACACTTTCTTCCTTTGCCTTCCAGCCTCAATAGTCTAGTCTTTTTAGTATCTGGATATATTTTGAACATAATGTACTAGACACATGCTTAATTCTCAAAAACTTTAGAGGCAAAGCCCAAATATTTTATTCTAGTATAAAACTAATGTATAGTAGATATGCATATTCAGCTATCCTTAGAAATAGTAGTCAACTCTGCATTCAATCTTTCATTCCATTCATTGGGGAAATAACAAAGAAATTAAAAAAAAAATAAGACCATATGTTTCAAAGAGCTTATTACTTGGGAATGTAAAACATAGCTGCAGGAACTATGTGGAGTGATCAAGAAAAACATCAGTTTATGGTATTCACACCAAAATGTTTACCAATATGTTCCCCACCAGAATATTTAGCCTGGACCTCACTTTGGGGAGACAGGTAAATCCATATTAGAGAACATTCTCTGGAACACCTGCTCTGAACTCTTCTAAACAGCAGTGTCCTGACATTGGCAAGTTTGGGAGTGTGGTAGGCTATCTCTACAATGGAAGAAACTAAAGAGACAATGAAAACCATTGTCTGTGATTAGATCCTTAATTAGACATGTCTAGGGGCTGAGGTACCATCTCAAAAAATGTTTACTACTTGCTACTTGCTTTTAAATGATTCAGAAAAATGTTAATTGTGTGTGTGTGGGGGGGGGTTATTAACAAAACAGTGAATCTTGTTGTAAAGTGTACAGATGTTGACTATTCTTTCAGCTTTTTTATAGTTTAGTGATTTTTCAAAATTAAGAAGTTGGGATAGGGGCCTCCATGGTGGCACAAGGGGTTGAGGACAGCACTGTGAAGCTCTCCTCTGCAGCACAAGTTCTATCCCTGACCAGCCAGGGACTCTACCCACTTGGTGCAGCAGACCTCTCCTGTCTCACCTGCTGCTCCCCTCAGCAGTGTATCAGTCAGTCTGCCTGTTCTGTCCCCCACTCTGTCTCTGGTGAATCCTCTCCCCCACTGCACCTCTGGCCTGTACCCCAGTCCTTCTATGCATAAATAAATAAATCTTTAGAAAAAGAAGTTGCTGGGATAAAATAAGAAAATATTTGAACATGGAAGTGAAAACAAACATTTGAGAATATAAGGCATGGGAAAACTATGTAGTAAGAATGAGAGTTTTATTTTTATTTTTCATTTTTTTAATTTTTTTTGTGGGACCCTCGCCAGTGGCTGGGGATCAAACTGGCGCTGCAGAGGCTGCAGGCAGTCTCGCAACCCAGCACTCAACCGCTGCGCCACCAGGGAAGGCCTGAGAGTTTTATTTTTGAGATGGGTTTTATTCATATAATAGGCAGGAATTGACAGGATACAGGTAATGAGAAAATGAAGTATACTCTGCTGCTATCATGAAAATATCTCTGCAGTAGAAAACATCTTATCTTTGAAGTAACTGTCAAATAGTTGTAAGTGGTATCATCTTTTATAATCTGTTATTTTCATCTATTTAGGTCTGTTATGTTTAACTTCTTTCTGTTATGATATGGGAAATGTCTAGAATTTGCATTCTCTGTAGGACAACATAGTAATTTCTTTTTTCTTCTAATTTGCTGTTAAGTCAACTTCTGATCATTGGATTAGAGCCCGTGGCTTGATGTTATTGGCAGACACTGATTATGCAGAACAACACTTTAGATGAGTGCTGCTGAAAGTATAATTCATATAGTATAGTCACCATTGAAATATAGATTCTGATGCAGAAGTACTACGATGGATCCTAATATTCTGAATTTCTAAAAAGCTCCTACATAGGTTGTTGTCTTTAATTCACAGCTTGAGTTGCAAAGATCTAGAACTTGATTCACAGTGCAGTTAAGGGAAATTGTGTATTATAATCTTCCCAGGATGGTGAGGTACTAATCTTTAAATTCATCTTCATACTTCCCCAAACAAACCCAAATTCCTTATCTAGGTCAATAGGCCCTTTTAAATCCAGCCCTTGTCCATTGCTGCAGCCTCTTCTTTAGCCACAGTGGATATTTGGTTCATGGAATACAACAAGCCTTTCCCACTTATAGACCTAGGCATTTTCTCTTAGAATGTACTTCTTAATGCATCACATGATTGACTTCATGTTATCTATTTAAGGTTTCAGCTTAAATGAAAAAAAAAAAAACCCTTAAAAAAAACCTTATGTGTTAAATATATGTTCCTATGTATTAAATACCTGTTCCAAGTTATACTGTATCATTCTTTCTCTCTCCTTCTTAGTACATACTGATTTGCTTATGGCTTTTTCTCCTCTGTTATAATATAAACTCTATGAGGACAGAAACCATGTCAGTCTTGTTTACCACTGTATCTCCTGTGCTAAGAATAGTACCTGAGACACAATAGATACTCCATAAATTTTTTAATGAACAAATAAATAAATGAACCAACTTAGCCTCTAAAGTAATTCTTAGTTAAGCATAATGCTATATTTACTGGCAGAGTGAGCACCTCTGATGGTAATATGGTCTACCCTTACCTCAGGTGATTTTGGACACACACCATCTCCCACAAAATAAAAGGATTGAACAACACAGTTCTGAACTTTAGTGAAGATATTATGTTCTATTACTACTGAACATTTTGTAGGTTTTATTCTGTTATTCAGTTTTCCTCTTTGCATAGAAACCTGCTCCTCTACTTTATTCTCATGAAACTACCCACGGCTATATTATGGATGTTTATTTTAAGTATATGCCTGAGTAGGAGTTTGGTGTATAGTAATTACCCAAGTTAATAGTAGTATTTATTCAATATGTAGTAATTACAAAGTTGGAATTTGGCCAGGGTGTTCAGGATGACAGTCCTACTTTTAGTTAGTGAAAACAAGTTCTTCTATGATCACAGATAATCATAATGTTGAAATTAATCATGTTAAGAATGCAGGTTTAGACACACTTAGTGAGATGGTGCTTCCTTAGCTTTTTTTGCTTATAGCTTGGTTCAGGTCTGATTCAACTAGCAAATAAATCACATCAACACTACCTACACTGCTTGTATTTTCCCTAAAGGTCTCTTCTGATTACTTGCTAGCCTGACTCTGCTTGAGTTATAAAATCTGACAAAAATCACAGTTGAGGATCTGCTCCAGGCTAGCCATAAAAACATCTCTTTTCATGTACTATATATCTAACTGCTACTTCTGGCACATCTTTCTTGATAGCCTATCTCAATCAGCAAATGGAAATTCTCTTTAAATAAAATCACTATGATGCCTTTCTTTCTTTCCAGTCCTCAGAAAACACAGCTTTTCTGTGTTTTCAGTCCCTAACTTCATTTGCTATTATCTTTTGCTCCTTTTTTTGCCTCTCATTTTACCATTCATTAGTTTCATGTGTAATCTGTAAGAATCTATAAAATGGACTGAGTAGAAGTTTGCACGCCTAATCTCCATTTCCTCTGACTGCTCTATATTCCAGAGCTTTATCTCAGGGTCTTGGGAAGAATATCCCACCATAGAGGAAAACCAGAAGAAAACAGTCTAAAAGACAAGGCAAATGATGCAGGAGAGGTGACATGGCAAAACTAAACTAGGCTGACAAAAGGAAAAATTGAAAATGAAAAGAGTAGAGAAGGGGAAAAATTCGGAAGAATTAAGATGGTAAATATTAAACATGGATAAAAGAAGAAGTGGCTAAATTAGTACTTTGAAAAGAAAACTGAAGAAATGCTGTTCTTCAGACGGGTGGAGATCACTTTCAAAGAAGAGATTTGGATGCTATGGAATTTCAGTAGTTTGTTAAATGACATTTCTGAATCCTCAGACTATTCTTCACATTAGTGTGATGGACACATTAGTCTTATTGACATTATTTGTTTGCTTAGTACTTTTTTTTTCTTCCCTGTAAAGGGAAGGTAAATCTTAGAGCAGCATCTTTTAATTTATTGCAAATTGGATATCATCCACAACTTTATTAATGAGACATGTTTTAACATACTGCTTTAGTTATATGTTGATCAGCTGAAAAGAAAAAATGCATATGCATAATATTAAATACGTAGCCTTCAGTATTCTCTTAGTTGGCAGTTACAGAAAGGATTCTGTGTATTTTGGATACTTCAACAGTGCAGGAGTGTGGAAAATATAAAAGCAATAATATCCCACCTGAGTTTTTCTCATATTGTACAACCATTTCTCAACAATCACTCTGACTTAGACCTTTTTATTGTCTTGGAAAACCCCATAGGCTGCTGAATATCACTGGTCAAAACAGAAGCCTAGTCTACATGTCTATATATAAGACTTTGTTTGGAGTCAAGATATTTTAAATGTTTTTTGCCTGGCTCTGTTTTCTGCTTTCACCAAATTCTTACTGGGTCCAGCTGGAGGCACAGCCTTATTTTTTATTTTGATAGTATTTAAACTTTGTTTTTTGGAAAGCTTTGGTTCCAGTGTGCTTCAGGCATCACTCTGGGGGGGTAGAAAAAGGATGGAGACTAAGTAGGCAGAGTTCATTCTGTTTCTGTGTCCCCTTCTATAGCTCATAAGATTGTCTTTAGAAATTAGCTCTAGTTCAGTATACTTTCTTCCATGTCATAAAAATAGAAAATATGAGAGTATATAGTCTTGCTACAGAGTGTTTATAGAACTTAGGACTCCTTTGCAGGCACAACGAAAATAGTCCTCACATTAAAAAAACAAAAAAAAAACAAAATAGGAACTAGTTCTTGGCCTCCACTTGCTGAATCCTTGCCCTCAGTGTGGGCTGCTCACCTGGCCATCACATGGAGACTGTAGAAGTACAGACTCTCAGGCCTTACTCCAGTTCTAATCAGTCAGAATCCGCATTTTATCAAGATTTGCAGATGATTCATTTGCACTGGAAAATTTGAGAAGCCCTGCAGCAGTCCAGATATCATCCAACACCCTGGGCTCTTCACCTCACATTGAAGGACACAGGGTAGCTGAAGTATCATTCATCCTTAGGACAGTTTAGTTTAATATTGACTGTCCTTAAGAATGGCGGAGGGAAAAAGGACATGTGACATGTATACATGACTCTTATTTCCACCTAAGTCTTTCACCACAATGTACTTTAAATTTGTGCTGTGATCCTCTCTAACATTTGGCTTACATAATACTATTTACTCAGACTTCAATCTATCATCTCCTTATAGTTGCTTATTACACCACAGTGTCTATATTAAATCTCAGCTTCTGAAAATAGAGCTGAGTTGCTAAATATGTCTGAGCACCTTGAACCAATACCTCCAATTCCTTATTCTGTTAGCCTTCTGTTCCCCCTCTCATTTTTGGCTGGAACACTTAAACTGCTTTTTCACACCATCAGATGTTTATATGAAATAATTTACCATTAAATGGCAGTTATAAAGATTTTTCATATTCGGCATGTAATATTTTTTAAGGATTCAGTTTTGAGCCATCAAATTTTTTGTTTTTCTTTTGTCATTTGATATTTTAATTTTATTTAGTGCCTCATTTGAAGTACAAATGGGAAGAAACACAATAACCGTAAATCACACATATATCTTGGTGAGGAAAAGTTGAAAACATTTGCTAAAATATAATTGTGTATTTTCTAAGGCACCCTAGTTGGTTGTCTACATTTATCTCAGATTTTATTTTAACAGGGGTGTGTGTGTGTGTGTGTGTGTGTGTGTGTGTGTGTGTGTTTGTAAGTTGTGAGACAGGACTCATTTCATTTTCCTTTAACTTCATTGTTTCTTTTAGTATATGAGTTGTTAATGTTTCCAATAAAAAGTAAATTCTACTCCTAGAATCTTCCATTTTCCCTTAGTTCATGTCCTCTGACATATAGTTGCTTCTCTGCCCGACCCATGGGCCTTGTCCAGGAGGCAATAATTCATCCTTCATTACTGTTAACATACTAATTCCATACTCCAGAATATCTTCCATCTGACCAGCTATTCTCAAATGTAATGAAAGACTGATAATTGTCAAGATTATGTGGTGGATAGGTTTGTGCCTTAGAGGCCAAGGTCACCACTTATAGATGCTTTTAGTACGCTCCAAGGTGTCAGGCTCCCCCTGCCCTCCCGCCCCCCGTCCCCCGACCCTACACTGTTACTACAAATCCAGAAGCAACTCTTAACCACTTGCTGGTTGTCATGCAGAGATTTGCTTATCAAAAATATTGATCATTTTTTTTGAGAAATTGTGTATTACTGCTTTGCAACAGGTGATACTTCAGTTTATCATTTCTATATTAATGAGTTCTTTAAGAAGTTTTTGCTATATGGACACTTAAAAATTTTTTTCATATTAACTGATCTTTTGTGTACTTTTAGTTATCGTAAGTTAAAATAGCAATACTTAGATATTAATTTTTTATTTTACTGATATCACATCTTTAATATTAAAAGCTTTTTACCAACAAACTTATCTGCTTTTTACTCTTTTTACTCTTTAAAGTCTTTTGATAACCATTAATCAGTTTTCTTAAAGACTGATTTTTTTTTATCTGTTGTATTAATGAAGATGAATTTGTTGAGATAGTTGAATTATAGTTGAGGATAAAACCAGTGTGCAGAGACGTTCCCAAGTGAAAGTGCTGCCCACTCACCCATGTGAGATGTACTCACTGTACAATATTGTGTAGTTTCATTTTCTGAGTGTGGTAATAGTAGCTCTGTATGATGAATTAGCAATTACAGGGCACATGATGCTTTTCCTTAGTTGAAACTTGTGTTTCAAGCTCTGCAATTGTCAAACTTTGTATGATTGGTTTTGAATGCCTAAATGGAAAGTATTTTGCTATCATCAGTTTTCATTTTCTTTAAATTATACTTAACTAATGAGTGTGCTGTCCTTTTTTTAGGTGCGCTTTGTAAAGAACATAACTTCCTGGAAAGAGATGAAACCAGGTTTTTATCATGGGCATGTTTCTTATTTGGACTTTGCAAAGTAAGTTACACTAAAACCATATACTGAAAATGCTTTGTACTTCAGAACCTAAAAGGAATAAATTTACGATTTGGATTTGAAAATATGTATTGGTTTGCCTTTGTCACTTTTACATAAGTAATTTAAATATTCCGTTAGTGTTTTACTGCCCTCTAGTGTTCATAAATTGATAATTGTCATACTAATTTTAGAAATTCAAGGTAGATCAAATTTAGACAATAATCTATAAGGTTATTTATAATTATTACTTTTATGTTTCTTGTACAACCAGAATGCCACTATTTCAGGAGAGGTCCAGCTTTGAGCCAAGAAGGTAATCAGATTATGGCTTATCAAGTCATGGAGAACTAAGAAAATAAAAACCACCACTCAGTTTTTGGTAGCCCAGTGCATGTGCTTCTCAAACAAGAATAGTAAAGTGTACATTACTCGGGCTACCTTGTTTTAGCTTTAAAATTGTGATGCATACCAAAGAGAATTTTTTTCTTAATGGTGTTTTTTCTTTTATTTTCTTTTATGTGATCTGTCTGCAACTCATTTTCGTTACTATAGGGAGGAGTAGATCAGGGTGCTTGCATCGTAATTCTTGCAAGAAGAGTTCGTAAAACTCCTAACAATATCCACACACTGAGTTGCTCCCTTGAGTTTTTGCCATATTGAGTATTGACCAGAAAACTGGTTAAAAGGAATATTTTATATCTATGTAGCTTGCATATGCATTTTTATTCACTTTTGGTAGAAATCTGAATACCTTTATAGTAAAACCTCAGATCCAATTCTTTGTCTTAATAAGATACTGCATTAACTTCAAGAATATTAAAATTTTTAAAAATTATTTAAACTTTGATGTGTTTGCTCAGTCTTTTCATTAATAGTCCTGACTTCAAAATAATGTACCCTCATGATGTTTGTCAATTTTAAAGAGCATTCTGTGTAAAATTTGAAAATTAAATTGATACCCCACTGTCAATTTAACATTTTAAATTTGAAAAGTTTAGTGAACTATTATTGATTCAGATTGATACTATATCTCAACTTTTCAAAAATACATAATTATAAAGGAATTTCCCAAATATTACATACATACATAAAGCAATATATTCTTTTTTCTAATTCTTCCCCCAGTACTTAAGATCTTTCAATAAAATGGTAGCTTTAAAGTTAGATGTACATTTTTCTATAAATAATTCATATTGCAATATTGAAAACATTTTATAGGCAGCTTTAAAATAAACTAATTATTTTTTCTTTGCAGAGGCACTGAACCAATTTCATAAACTTCACTCATATGCATATTTTCCCTAAGGGCTGCATTATTCTTCAATTGAATGTTTGTTACCCTTTCACCTAAATGATTTTATTTTTTCCACACACAGCTTGGTTTCTAATACTTGAGGTTTTCATTATTAAAATAATATATTGAGTGCTTTTGCTTTTGGCAAAAGTCTTGTACTTAAAATGAAGCTCTGGTATATGCTGGGGTACTTGCAGTTGAAAACGTATAAAGCTTCTTGAAAAGATTAATCTCATTTATTAAATATTAACATGAACATTCAAAGGTTTGAATATTTTCATGACCAGTCTCATGTTATTGGAAATGAAAGTATTATGAAATTTTTTCACAGACGTTTACAAGATTTTAAACAAATACCTTTAAAATCAACTAGAGGAAGTGTATTATGATAATATATATAGTCAAGAATTATTGTAGATGTAACTAGTGTCCTTTAATCACCATACTCATTGCAAGTGAGTAAAGAAGAGGAAAAAAAAATTCACCTTACCACTTTTTAAAGATACTTTATTCTTCAAAATATATCCTAGACTGGTATAAGTATTTTTGTGGAGTCCATTAAAATACTTGCCTTCTGCAGAAAATGGCCATATTTGTTGTAAGAAATATTTAATTGTAGAGCTTTTCAGTTGCTTTAGCAGAGATACTAGAAAAGATTGTAAACCCAAGAAACCCCAAGACACCAGGAAATAAGATAAATAAAAGATGAAAAGTCCTTTGTAGTTTAGACTGATCACTCGGAAGTACTCATTTTATTTGTAAGCCTGTTTCTGCTCAAACTAGGGATATTAAAAAAATACCTTCTTACATATTTGTATTCCCTCCTGCCTTTCTCCTTTTTGTCTTACTCCTGGCCGTTGACTTTTTTTTTTTATTAGCACATTTCCTAGCTCTTCCTTTCTAGTTTTCTTTCCCTTTAGTATTCAATTACTGTTTTACTTTCTTTTTAGTTGATACAACATAATTTTAAGATAATTGTAGATATGTGTCGGTCTGTCCAGCAGGCCGACGGGGTTCAGGAACACGGCAGAGGGGCTGGGGATGAAAAACGCTTCTACTCACATGGATGGCTGCAGGAACTCACACTTTATTACTGAGGGGGCAGGGATATCATTTTTACTTTCTGCGCATGCGCTTTCCATGGACCTTGCACCTTTCTGTTAAGATTGCATTAGATTTGTAGTTCTTTCGGTTGGCGGAAGCGAACACTACCTCAGGTCCCTCTGTCAGCCAGAAAGCAGCATTGCCAAGGCGGTATTGCCAAAGTTAAGTTTTGTGTCTGTTATTGAAAGCGGACACACAAGGGCCTGTCTTAGGTTGTGGCAGGTATGCACCCATGCTTACCCGTCATGGCTGTCCGCCACCTGGATTCCGGATAAGGTGACGGTGCTGTCTTAGGTTGCTATGGGGCACACCACCATCTTACCCGTCATTGGCCTACAAGTGGTCTAGCACAATGTTTATCCAGACATTGGGGTCCTGAGAAGGTTATAATGGGGAATAGCGCACATGTAAGCGCTACTCGTAAGTTTTTGCGTCTGTTCCATTGATGCCACAAGATGACAAAAATGACCCCTAGACAGAGGAAAATTAGACTGAGGAGTGAGACCGCTCCACCTAAGGATTTGACCAATCCCCAAGCTTTGGAGAGCCAGGAGAGGGCTTGATCAGGATTAATAGTGAGGATTTGATTAGCCAATTGGACAGTAAATTTAAGAAAGGTTGGTTCCATGGGCTGCGCAGGTAGTCATTAAGGGAATGAACTTGGGAGGAGTAGTTGGATACAACAGCAGGGGTAACGCAGGTGAAGGCATATGTAGGCATACAGGGGATATGAGCAGTTAAAGTCAGTAAGTCGATTTCTTCCTGTATTAAGGAAACTTGTTGATTCAACTGGAGTAGTCCTACTGCGAGATGGTTGTTGATGGAATTTTGTGTGAGAAAGGCACTGGAGGCTCTTTCTGAGAGATGGTTGATGGTATCTGCGTTGAGTACGGAGTTGGATAGAGCTAGGCCGCCAACCACCTCGGACACAGCTGCCAGCGTCGAGAAGACAGAGATCACGGCACCAACAACCAATGCCGGACCTGCTTGTTGATTTCGGATGATTACCTGAGAAGTAGACTCAGACACATTGACAGGCATAATAACGACCTTAGGGAAACGCATGACAACGAAGGAATTGCTGAGGGTTTTAGACCAACAAGAGGAAAGGTGACAGCTACAATTGAGGGAGGATTGATTGTTGAATGGTAGATTGAAAGACACTATAGAAAGGAGTCCAGTGGTGGAATTGGTAGACAAGAATGACGGGAGAATACCCCCCTTTCTAGAACCAAGAGGGATTCATCTACTAGACCCAGATGTCATTGTTTGGTTCAAGCAAAGGTATCCAGATGGTATTATCTCTAAACCTAAGAATTTCTGAAGCACTTCCGTAGAGTTAAGTAATTTAAGGCCATGGCTCTACAGGCTATACCTGAAGAGTAATATTGTATAGTAGTCTTTTTTCCTTATTTAAATAAAAGTTTGTATTGTGGTTGGGATTTTGAGGTTAAATTTTGGCTCTGCTACTTAACAGTGGTGTTTTTGTGTAGCTTATCTCAGTCTGACTCATACATAAAATGGGATTATTACCTACCTTATGGGTTGTTGGGAGGGTTCAAACTAAACGAATGCATGGAACACATTAAAACGTTGATTATACACTACAGGATTAGAGTGACTAGTAATCAGTACTATGTGAACATGGTGGTTAATACGGAAGTTCTCTGGAATAGCATTTTTTAAGGTGTAAGGTTTGGTTGAATTAAAGTATCACTGGGGACTATCACCCTCTAAATATTTTCTTATCATGTTAAAATTTTGTGGCTCTGCTAGTTTATTTTTTAACTTACATTTAGAAAAGAAAAAAAAAATGAGCACACTGGGATGAAATAAGTAGCAGAGGTATGCAGAGAACTAATCTATATGACGTCTAGGTGAAAACACCTTTTGTCTATTTTTTAAGATACTTTATCAAATACAAGTGAACAGACTTTTTTAGATTATGGTGAAACTTATTATACTAATTTAAGTATGTAGATAGCCTTTTACAGTTATGATAATATAGAGGGATATTAACTACAGAAATAATATGTAAAGCGAAACTCCTAGGTGTTTTCCTCGAGGGATGTTTGAGAAAGGCTTGAGGAGGTGAATTTTGAAAGAGCAGAAGTGAGGGACTACACAAGCCCCCGGAAGTAGAGTGGGAAGGGAGGGATGCTGCCGATTTTTGGTTGATGGGGGTGGTCTATCATAGGGAGGTGGATAGTCTGTATTGTCCTCCACATCCCCCTTGTCTGAAGAGGAATTTCCCCATGGATTTGAGGATTGAAAAGGGGGGGTTTCCGTGGCTGAGCTTGCCATGGCCGAGCATGTGGCGGGTGTAGTTTCGCTTTCGGATTGAGCCGCAGAGCGCAATGCCTCAGCCACTGGTTCACAAGCAGCTGCTCCCCCATCACTAAGGGCATCATAGACTAGTTGCCACACAGAAAGAATACGGGGGGGGGGGAACAGTTTGGGGTCTGTAAAGGTCCCTATGAAGAAGGAAGTCTACTTTGACCTTTTCCCAGTTTCGTACTGAGACGGTGTCCTGCTGAAAGAACCATTTGCTGGTGTTTGCGAGGACTGAGACTAGATTATGAAGGGTCTGAACCTTAATGGGAGTTCCATAATGTTTAAGCAGAAGTTGTAGGGCTCTAACAAGTTGGCCCTTGGACATGGTATTGCCCATGATGCTGATCACTTACCTAATCCTTCCTTACATTACTGATTGATCGGTCCCTCAGAGGATCCCTCGTACTCGTGTCCCGACGTTGGGCGCCACTTGTCGGTCTGTCCTGCAGGCCGACGGGGTTTAGGAACACGGCGGAAGGGCTGGCGATGAAAAACGCTTCTACTCACATGGATGGCTGCAGGAACTCACACTTTATTACTGAGGGGGCAGGGATACATATATGAAAGTCTGCGCGTGCGCTTTACGTGGCTTGCGCATGTGCTTTGGTCTGCGCATGTGCTTTACGTGGCTTGCACATGTGCTTCGGTCTGCGCATGTGCTTTGGTTATTGACAGATATGATAAATTGATGTCATAAATTTAGAACTTTTCCAGTTTAAAAGAAAATTGCATAGGTTGGACATTTTCAAAACATCAGATGACATAAAGTTGAATTAAGTTACAGTTCTTGTCCCCAATGAGTCCTTTGAAACTTCACTCTTTCTATAATTATCAATCAGTTCATTGTGTTTTATTATAAATAGTAAAACTGTTACATTACCCTACTTTTTAACTTCATATAACCTATTAGCAGTATCAATACCACTTCAATTTTCTTCAAATTTTACAAAATGAAACATTAGGTTGTCTCTTTATAAAACCTTTCCCAGTAACATTTTCCTCTATAAAAAAGTTCAGTTAAAAAGAAAACTGTTTTCACACTGGTTTTGGTCAGCTGAGAATTTCAATGATCCAGTTACCTAAGGGAATGCATCAGTCTTAGAAAGGTAACTGGAAATTATTTTTGATATGACAGTCAATTTAATTTAAGCACTCGTCAGGTGTGTGTTTTGAGGTTATGCCAGGAATGAGTATGGGTTTTCGGTGTTGTCTTTTGGGTTTCTTCATTCACCTCTTGTCTTTTTCAGAACAATTCAGGTCAATCAGTAAAGAGGCAGATCTGTTAGAACAAGGAACAAATAACTAAATGCTTCATTAGATCTGAAATATCCTAGAGAGAAACAAAGTGACTATGTCAGGCCTAAATAGTTTGCTAGAATGTAGATCATGTGAGTTATCCCTTTTACCTTGTACTTTTCTGCTGAACCAGTTGAAGGTTGAACTTTTTTCTACAACTTTATTTTTTTTTTTTTTTTAATAGAGGCATGTTTTATTTATTTATTTGTTTGTTTGTTTGTTTATACATGCACTGGGTACAGTCAGAAGCGCGGGAGGGTGAGAGAATTCACCAGAGTCAGAGCGGGTAGCAGAGCAGGCAGAAGGACCGAAGTACACTGCTGAGGGGAGCAGCGGGCGGCAGGAGAGGTTTGCGCGCCATGTGGGACCCTCCTCCGGTGGCCAGGGAGCAGCCGGGGAGCGAACCGGCGTTGCAGAGGCTGCGGGCAGCTTTGCAACCCAGCGCTCAACTGCTGCGCCACCGGGGAGGCCCTTTTTTCTACAACTTTAAACAAATATGTGACCACACTGTAGAAGCTTTTTTTAAAAAAATCAATCATTACAGGCAATATGTAAGAGATGCTTTTTTATTGACCTTGTACGACTAGCTCTCTTTACAATACTGATCTGTAAATAAGGAGCAGTCACTGGAGACAGATCTGCAGTTACATCCACCTCTATTCCTTACAGTGCTGCAGTCTCAGCCATATTCCTTACAGGCTTCGGTTTCTCCCCTTGTAAAATGGTAATTAAAGTAACTTTAATTCTGTGTGCTTGTGAGGTTGAAATGTGATCATGAATGTGATGCACTTAGTTCTGTGTCTCACACAGCACAGTGTTAGGCTCTTTTAAAATGCTGTCTTTCAGTTACCATGCTGTCTTACTGGTGTTTTCTTTTTCTCCCTGGCCCTTTTTCCAGCTCTGAGTTAAAATATTGTCAAGACTCTTATCTTTGCCTCCATTATCCTCTTTTGGGAAGATGACCTATTTTTATTTATCAGACATCCAAGCAAGAAACTTGAGAGTGGCTTAGACAATCCTTTTCTTTATCTCCTACCTAATCAGTCACCAAGTCTTTGGAGCCTGGCATCTTTCACTTAGCATAATGCTCTTAAAATTTGATGTATCAGTAGTTCATTCCATACTATGTAGTATTCCATTGTATGGATGCACCACCATTTCTATCCTTCTCCAGTTCTAGATACTTGATGTATTTCTAGTTTTTAGTGATTGAGTAAAGCTGCCAAAACATTTGCATACAGGTTTTGTGTGGGTATATGTTTTCATTTCGCTTGGGTTAAAACCTAAAAGTGGTGTTACTGGATTAGATGAAACTTTAAGAACTTGCCAAACTCTTTTCCTAAATGGATGCATTATTTTGCTAGATCACCACCACCACTGTGGTTGAGACTTGAGAGTTCTAATTGCTGTGCATTCTTGTCATTGTTGAAACAAAAACTTGTCAGTGTTTATTTTTTATTTTAAGCCATTGTTAAAGACACACAGTAGATGACTGCCCATTTTAAGAGATAGATAATTTTAAAAATAATTTATTCACAACATTATCATTATGGGACCAACAAATACCAACAGATCATTTATTATGTTGGAAATAAGACCATGGGAACTTGCCACTAGAAGGCTTTGAAAGTTTCCTTGAAAGTTTTAGGGCTAAGGGAGTCTGGAGTAAATATGTATAAGATAATCATGTCCTTAGTGAGAACTCCAGCTAACCAGGGATGTTAAACCAGAATGAAGCAGAAATCTCAAAAGCATAATGCTTTACCAAAGGCTCTTTCTAGTCAGTTGACAAGGTTCCTTTCAGATGTTCTGAGTGTTAACATGTTTTTTTCCTTAACCATTTGTGATGTTCACTCATTTCTCTAAGCTATCTGTAGAGAATAGTTGTGAAAAAATGAGCCTGGTTTGTTTATTGCTTTGTCATACAACTACGCTGACTAAGCAAGATAAGGTTTCTAACATGTCTTGTTAACCTACTGCTCGGATGATATTTTTTCCCTTTCAGTCTTCATATAACGTCACAAATTCCTACTAAATATATTCTTCTTTTCCTAGGAAAGTCATATTCTAACAGGTCAATGGTAATTTTATTTTCTTGAAGTGAAGGTGAATTTTCTGTTTTTCTGCCTCCTGAGAAACACTCAGGAGGAACAGCTCAAACTGGCCTGCGAGTCCCCAGAACATATTTTTTCCTCTGTAAATAGCTATCTCGTTGACAAAAGAATTAAACCTACAATGAAAAGGATGCTTGTTTCCTAACCAGCTGGGCTGAATGACCCACGTGCTATTTTTATTGTGCCTGTTTTCTCTTACAATCCTTTGCTTTCATCTCTGTATAACCTTATCCGAGTTTACACACAATGATTCTTATCTCTTTTCAGAATGCGTTCACATGTTATCTCATTAAAATCATTCTTCATACTTATCAATGCTACCAAAGCCATGTCACAGATAGTGAAAAGGATTTGGTGACTCTGCTAACTGAATATAAAGGAAAATAATAGAATCAAGATAATGGCAGGGTTTCAAGATTGGGAAAGTGAGCATTTAGAACAGAGGCAACTGAACAGTTCTAGAGTTTGCAAGGATTGTTAAAGTAGAAGACTTCTCTTTCCTTCAACTATCATTTCCTAAGGAAATAATACAGAAAACAGAATGTCTTTCACTCTGTCTTGTTAAAATCAGCTTTGGAAAGTCGACTCAAATAATTGCACTTGTGTAGATTTACGATTATTCTCTGATCATGTTTGTCTACTTTGGTGGATCAGAAGTAAAAAGTTGTTACTACATAAAATTGAATACTTCATGTAATTCTTGTCAGTCAAGTTTAAAATTATTTTTCATTCAATTTTCCTGTCTTACCTTTATCTTTAGCAATATGGCTTCTCAACCTTTTGACTAAGATCAAGTGTAGTGTCTTTATCTTCAGCATAATTTTTGAATTCTTATTTGTTTACTATATAACATAACCATGAAATATTTTCTAATTGTTACATACTCTGTTTTAATAGTCCATGTTCTTCTTTCCATATCGAATCTATATCTGAAACTTACAATTTGAGGAATGAAAATGTCAGTTTTACCTTTTTGATTTTGTTCTATTTTAGATTTGGTGTGAAGAAGAAGCCAATCTACATTAATGTCATAAGGGATCCCATTGAGAGGCTAGTTTCTTACTATTACTTTCTGAGATTTGGAGATGATTATAGACCAGGGCTAAGAAGACGAAAACAAGGAGACAAAAAGGTAATAATTTAGTTTCAAAATTTTTGTAAAGATAATTGTTTATGAAATAGAATGTGTGTACATTTTTGAAATTTATGATCCATTATAAATATGCTACTTGCTTATTGTGCAAACTTAGAAAAGAACCCCAAAGTATAAAGAAAGAAAGTACTTATAGTTGATATTTTGGAGTGTGCATAATTTTCTATGACTTTTAGAAATGTAGTCATTATATTCCAGGGCTGAGTGTTTGTTTTATTATAGTCCTATTAACACTTTTCTATGAGACCATCATAATTATTCATTATTAATATGATGTATCTGTATATGTATTTGGGTTCTCTTAGTCTTGATGATGACAATTTAGGGACACTATTTTGCGAAAGCAGCTTATTTTTTCAGGCAAGAAGAAAGAGCAACGGAGTTCTTAGCTGACTCAGTTTGGGTTGTCTTTTCTTTAAGTATGTACTCCACAGTAGCACCAGACTTATTTTTCTAAGAAACCAAACTTACTGATCACTTTTCTGGTAGAACACCTTTATTGGACCCCCATTGCTCACAGGATTTCCCAGGGCACAGGAGAAACAATCTGATAAAATTTGAAACCTAGTCTCCCTACCTCATTTTCCCTCAGGTGCCTTATGCTTCAGCCCCATAAAATGTTACCATCCTCCAACCTATTGATTTATCATTTTTATAAGTATTGTTTCCTATATTTAGAATGACTTTCCTTCACTCTGCAAAACTCTTTGTCCACTTTTTTTTAAAAGATTTTTTATTCATGCATACAAGAAGTAGGGTACAGGCCAGAGGTGTGGGGGTGAGAGGATCCACCAGAGACAGAGTGGGAACAGAACAGGCAGATTGACTGAAATACACTGCTGAGGGGAGCATTGGGCAAGGCAGGAGAAGTCTGCTGCACATGTGGGCAGCCCCCCGGCTGGGGATTAAACTCAGCTGGGGATTAAACTCTTGCTGCAGTGGCTGCGGATAGCTTCATAGGTTGCGTCTCAACCCCTTGCGTCACCAGGGAGGCCCTCTTTGTCCACTTTTTAATATACATCACAAATGTTACCTCTTTCATAAAATCTTTTCTGGTGCAAGAAATCAGCTAGTCCTATATCTTGCAAGACTCCCAAAGCACTCCATTTGCCTCTCTATTTCTCAAGCATTTATTTTGTGGTATTTGGATTATTTGTTAACATAAATGTCTTCTGCAAAAGGTCACAAAACTTGCTGAAGCAGAGGTTATATTTCATTCATCTTTGTTTCCTCCAGTATTTGGCACAGGGCCTACTTTACTATTTTGCAACCAGAGTTTTACTTAATATAATCCCTGTCCAGTACCTGGAAAATAGGAATATTAGAGAATGAAAAAGTCAGTATTCTAGAACTGATAACTATAGAGAGAGCTAGATAGATTATTTCTGAAACTTTTTTTGAGTTCTACTCAAAAGTGGCTTAGAATTCCCTTTAAACACTGAGAACTTTTTTGATTGCTGAGCAATTTGCAGCAACATGGATGGAACTAGAAGGAATCATGCTCAGCAAAATAAGCCAGAAAGAAAAAGAAAAATACCGGATGATCTCACTCATAGCAGGAATTTAGAAAACCTAAATAAGGGACCAGGAAAAAGACTAATTATAATAAAGTAAAAATCAGAATCAACAAGGAACTATAAACCAGAGACACACTACAGGGGTGGGGGGGTGGTTAGGGTCAAAATAAGGGGGGTGGAAATTGTCTGGGGACTATAACCAAGATGAAAATGCATACATTGTGCAAAAATGAAAAAGGATGTTAAAAATATATAAAATAAATAAATAAAAATTACCTTTCAAAAAAACCCTGAGAACTACCAAAGAACTTTTGTTTATTTGAGCAATATCTATTGAAATTTACTGGTTTCCTGAGAACTATGCCTGTTTACTGAGAGCTTTAGAAAATATTAATTTAAATGTAACAGTAGGAAACCAGACATGGTAACATGAAAATTATGGGTTTTATGCAAATAACCATTTTCAAAAAAAGTAAAAAGCATTTTATCTTTTTTTAAATTTTAAAAATATATGACTTAACACAGAAGCTGGATTTTCATCTCTGTGGCTGAATCAAGGATGTTCAATACATCCTTTTTATTGAAGTGAATAAAGAAAATACAGTTTTACGCAGCTATATATTGAAATTGGGAGGATTTTAATGACCTTTTCATAAAATTGTGGAAATTCTTCTCTAATACTATACTAAAACTTGACAAGCAATAGTTTCTAAAAGTTGCTGCATTGTGGAATCTGGAACCATAGCTATGAGCTTTTTATGCTCTTCTGTATTGAGAACATGTATTTGTGTTCTGTTTTTTCCTACTTGTTTGTTTTTGCTTTTTATTTTAAAGACTTGAAGTTTTATTAGAGAAGAACATTTATTGATGAATATTAAAATCAAGAGCAGAAGAACTACATGTTGGCTAATTAGAGAACTTGGGTTTAAATAGAAATCCTTATCTAAATCAGTTTTTATTCAATAGTGGATATTTAAATTCCTGCAGTTGATTAGAGAGTAATTCTGTGGCAACTTTTAATACTGTAACTTCTATTAACATCCTAGTTTTTTTTATACACTGTGGTGGTAGAGATTTTAAGTTCACCCTTAATCACCTTAGTAATTCATTCCATTTCACTCTGGTACTTTAATCAGATGGAAGTGTGAAGAAGCAGACAACCCCTTCTGAGCTTCAGAGACACCATGCTAAGACCTGTTTGCAATTGGATAGGCAAGGAATCAGAAACTTTCTGATATATCATCATTCAGTTCATTGAGCCCAAGACTTCTTCTAAATAGGACATGGTAGAGACACACAGATTATTTTATTTTTATAATGTATAATTTGGCATAAATAATAATAAAACCTCTTTTTAGAAAGTGACTTGGACCAGCAAATCTAAATCAGACCACCTGGTGAAGTTCAAAAATAATGTAATAGCCATCGAAATGGGTTTTATTGAGTATTAAGTGTTATCTGATGTGCTTTCATATAAAATATTTGTGTGTGTGTTTCTATAGACAGAGACAAAGACACATACATGCAGATAATGATATCCTAAAGGACTGTCAAAATGCTCCATGAAAAAATTGGCTTTGGCTTTGTCCCCACTAGAACTGTGCCTTTAATACTCATATAAATTCTCAAAGCATGGTCTTTCCAGCCATTTACAAATATTGGTCATGAAAACAATTTGTATAGCATGATGACGTGTGCTGTGGAGGACGCAAATGCACGCCATTTGGTCCCTCCTAGATGTGTTCACTGTAGTTGGGGAAAAAGAACACAATGCATTTTTTTTTTAAGTACTGAAAAAATTTCTTTAGATGAAGATGTATGCATAGATATAAATACCTGAATACTAAGCTAGTATTACAAGGCAGTATATAATTAATTCTATGAATTCAGAGAAAATATGAGTGGCATTAGGTAAGAGTAGTCATTGGAGATAGTCTTAACATAAACTAGATTGATAGAGGGAAGGCACTTTCAGAGAAAGAAAATATGGTCAGCAAAGGTATATAGATTTGAGGGAATATATGACATACTTGAAATACAAATCAGATTAATCTGGTAAAGTTGAATGTTACACGTAGTGCTAGGGCTACACTGGCACACTGAACTTGGAGTATGAAGTGTTTCTGAAAGGCACAGTAAGAGATTTTGATTTTTTCTTTAAGATATTGTAAGCTATTGAAGGTTCCTGAGGAGAGGATGTTAGTGGTAACTACTTAGACTGATATGAATGATAACTGTATAGTGCAGATTGGAAAGAAGGAAAAGGTAGGACCCCAATTAAGAAGTGGTTATAAGAATTGAGAAAGGATATTTGAAGGTCCCAATGGAAGTAAGACTGAAAAAGGTGGATTGCAAAGACAGTACCTCAAGGATATGAGGTGAGAGAGAAGTTTAAGAAATATTCTGAGGGCCTCCCCTGGTGGCGCAGCGCTTGAGCGCTGGGCTGTGAAGCTGCCTGCAGCCTCTGCAGCACCGGTTCGATCCCAGGCCGCCGGGTGAGGGTCCCACATGGCATGCAGACCTCTCCTGCCGCCTGCTGCTCCCCTCAGCAGTGTATTTTGTCACTCTGCCTGTTCTGCTCCCCGCTCTGGCTCTGGTGAATTCTCTCACCCTCCCGCACTTCTGACTGTACCCAGTGCTTGTATAAATAAATAAATAAATCTTAAAAAAAAAAAAAAAGAAAAGAAATATTCTGAGTCTTCAAGCCTGAATTACAAAGGGTAATATCCTATTGCCAGAAATACTGAGTACGAGGTAAAACTGTAAATTTAAATGAAAATGCACAATAGGTATCAGAAGGTGGATAAGGAGGGATAGATAGATAAAGGGGTACAGATTTGAAGGGTTTTTGCCTAGGAATTATACACAAAGCCAAGGAAGTGTGAGTAACAGGGCTATAGAAGAGAGTGGGCAAAGAGAAGGTAAGCGAGATGAATACCATTTGGTGAGTGCGGCCAAATGCTATGGAGGTCCAGGAGAACAAGAGCGAACAAAACATTGTTTTTGACTATTAGGGAGGAGTGGGGAGAAAGACAGGCACAGATTAAAATTTTTCCTTCCTGTTTACTGAAATGCCTACAATGAAGCAGTCATTGTGGTAGATTTTTTTTTACATCCATAATTCGATTTGTCCTGCATATAAAATTATGTCCTTTTTCTTGGGGGGCGGGGATTAGAACAAAATTTAAGCTGTCTGGATTCAGCATGATTCAAACCCAAGTCATAGATCTTTTCACTATATCATGGTGAATATTATCTGTAAAAGAAATGGGCAAATAAAGTGGGCTAAAGTTCACTGTCGTCTCTTGAATGTTACGAGAATAAATAGAATCATTCTACTGTAGCTCCAACCCACAGCCAATAAGGATTTTTTGGGACCTCTTTCCATAGATTTTTGGTTGAAAGGGCCCTTTGAGTTTATCTCATTTTATGAATTAGAAAAAGTGTGGTTTGGAGGCCATAAAGACTTACTTTACATTGGGTCAAACCTGGCTCTAGAAACCACCTCTAGAGCCTTGACCCAGAACATGTGCTCTTTTTACTTTTTCCTGTTTCTCTTGTCAAAAGTTACAAGCATTATTAGTAGATGTCTCACTTCAGCAACCAGAGCTCACACAGTTTTTCTCCGGTTTCTCAATGTTTTACTTTAAATAGATACATCTGTTAAAATATAAGTGATAGTAAGTACTCAATAAAGTGAAGCTGATTAATTCAGTAGATCCATAACCTATAAGTCTTTTCCCCTTCTCTTTAATTCAGTTAGATCCATTGGAAAGGAGGGCATACAACTCCTAAGAGACCTTTTTGTTTTGTGCATGATTTTATGTTTGTTTCAGTGAGAAAAGATGAAAAGATTTACATGAAGTCCTACTTTGTATTCTTGTCAAACACTTTTTTCAGAGTATCATTATCCTTGTTATTATTTAATTTCCTTTGGTAAGGGGATAGAAAATATAAATTCACAAATTCAGTGTAAACCAGTGCTTGTTTTCAAAATCAAATTACTGTTGGGGGGGTGGGTTCGTTTGTATAATAGAAGAACTCTTAATAAACACAAACCAGACTTGAGTAAAATTTATGCTTAACTTCTATTGATATATCTCAAGTTTATTTTCATAATCTGCCCATCCTTTTCAATTCACTATCTTGTCCTGTCCTCTCCCAACCATTTATTTGATAACTTACCCCATTAAGATACTTGATAGGTAAGACTTGGGTTTATGACTCACCTGTGCTCTTCTGTCTTTGTTACAGACCTTTGATGAATGTGTAGCTGAGGGCGGCTCAGACTGTGCTCCCGAGAAGCTCTGGCTTCAAATCCCATTCTTCTGTGGTCACAGTTCAGAATGCTGGTATGGAGATAAAGTTAGCTTTATTTGATAATCTTCTTTATTATCTCTTTTCATAGGCATGAATGTATTAGTCAAGGTCATAGTATTAGGAAATTAATGAAAGACCGGACTGAAAATGCCATGTAATTAAATAACATCTAGTTTTGTGGTTAACTTTAAATGTATTAAATTTTTTTTTCATATATAATATCCTTGCAATGTTTTCTCGAGAAACTGATTTTTAAATTTTTTGTTTGCTTTTAGAGTTATATATTTTTCTGTACTCCAGCAGAGCTCTTAATTAGAAGTCAGGGGTCATTTCATAAACCCCATTCTCTCCTAAGCTTACTGTTTTAGCCATTCATGTTAGATCAAGGGAAGGCTTAGTGATAAATTAATCAACTGGTTTTACTGTTAAACTGATTTTGATTTCAAGAGAAGCCAAAGTTACAGTTGTGATTTAGTCTGCTAATAAAGATTAAGTAGAAAAAGATATATGATCTTTAATAAAGAATTTATTTCCTCAGAATTTGCTGAGTTTTCAGTTTTTAAAAATAATGGCATTTATATTTCTAATCAATCATTTTAATTGGAAAAGTAGGAAAAAACAGAAATACCTGCAAAGTTAGTATCTTCCTTAAAACTATAATGAGAAATCAAAGGAATACTTTTTGTTCTTTTGGTCACTGTTTGAGATGTATCACAGTCATGAATCACTAAACAAGGGGCTGCATTCTGAGGACTACATTGTCAGGAGATGTCTGTACTGTACACACATCATAGAGTGTGATTACACTGACATACAGGGTATAGCTTTCTGTATGCCTAGACTATAGGGTACAGACAGTAAGAACCAGTGTGGTATATGTGTTCCATAGCTGACCAAAACATCTTTAAGTGATGCATGCCTGTCATGGATTATTGTGACCCTCAAATTCCTCTTTCGTAGATTATATCACTGCATAATAGTAGCAATAGCTTTAAGAAGAACTGGAAGCATAAGAATGTCTTCTCAATATTTAGTCATTTCCTTAGGATAGGCATCAATGAATTACAACCTGGAGACCAAACTTGGCCCATCTTCTGTTTTTGTAAAGTTTTATTGAAACACAATCATATCCATTTGCTCACTTACTGTCTATGAGTGTTTTAATTGTTCAGTTACGTAATTGTGACCAAGCTGATAAGGCCTGCAGTGCTTAGATATTTACCCTGGCCCTTTATAGAAGAAATTTGCCAACCTTTACCTTAGAACAATAGTGTGTTGCTCTATTGAGCGTATTGAGGAAATTCCATAGACTCAGAACTGGCTTTAGAAATCTGCTAATTTACATCTTCTTCCCCCTCCTAGCTTTTTAATGGCTGAATAAAGGAGCAAGGAGGGTGAAGCCACCAGCTCAAGATCATACTACATATAAACAGAGCTGGAGTTAGGATTAAGGGATGTCAGTGCTAAAAAGAATCCCAAAGTATAGTTTAAGGTTTATTTAATCAGCTATTAGCCGACAATGCAAAAAATAAAAGGTCCTTAGCAAAACCGTTTTTACCTATTTTTAATGCCTCAGAAATTTCAGAAAAACCTGCAAATTAACATAAACATTAAGCACAAATTGCTTAGATCTTACTAGAGTGCTCTTAAAATTAACAGTTTAATTTTGAGTAGTTAAAAAAATTATATTTGGTGTTCACACTGAATCAGATGGCGGTAACGTGTTTCTCTCTTTCTCTTTCTCTGTATCTCTCTCTCTCTCTCTCTCTCTCTCTCTCTCTCTCTCTCTCGCCCTCAAACTAAACTTTGTTCACATCAGTGTCCTTACTACAGCTGAATTGGCACTGCATAGTTGAGCGGAAATGGGGGATAGAGGAAAGGAAATTAAAAGCAGGTGTGCCTCCCAAAGGACGTTAGTAAAAGGACATTAAGACTTTGGATGTACATGTGTTTATCTATATTCTGCATAATATGCAGTGTCACAGGCATCAAAAATACTTAGCCGATTTCACAACTAGGTTTTTAATTCACTCTCTTTGGTTTAGGAATGTGGGAAGCAGGTGGGCTATGGATCAAGCCAAGTATAACCTAATTAATGAATACTTTCTGGTGGGAGTTACTGAAGAGCTTGAAGATTTCATTATGTTATTGGAAGCAGCTTTGCCTCGGTTCTTCAGGGGCGCTACAGAACTCTACCGTACAGGTATATAAAAGATGGGTATCTTTTTAAGCTGTACTTAACTTTGTTTGCAACTTGAAAAATAGGCGATCTGAATTTTCTTTAGTAAAGCACACAAGAAATAGCTCCAGAAAGAAGAGTATATAATCTGTCTCTGCTCATTATTTCCAATTCAGAGCAGTGACTGGCACACAGATGGTATCATTAGATATGTTTTGAATGAATAACCCTGCATTAGATGATAATTAGAAGGCATTGTAGGACTAGTAGAAAGATAGACATGATAAAACCAGCCTGAGAAATGTGTAATATTCAGTAATGCTGGAAAACACCCATTTTAGACTGTGTTAAGAATTCTGCCCTTAGACCTGCCTATTGCCATTTAGAGTCTTGGTGGGACTGAGTCATGGTAGTAATGGTCATCATGTGTTTGTCTGTTGGGTTATAGTACCCCTGAAAGTGCGTTTCAACAGCCTCAACACTATTACAGATCGGAAGTTGTTCTGGTCCAGTCCAATTCTGGTGTCTTGTTTTTCTGCTGTTGGTTGGTGAGATACTATGATCAGAGTGCTTTTGCTGGGCTTTTTATATCCCCTTGCTTTGTTTTTTGTTTGTTTGTTTTGTTTTTTTTTCTTTGGTTAATTTTATTTTTATATTCCCCATACAATTGCAACCCCCTTATTTTGACCCCAATCCCTCCTTTCCCCGCCCCCACCCCCCTATAGTGTGTCTCTGGCTCATAGTTGTTTGTTGATTTTGATTTTTTCTTTTTTATAGTTATTCTTTTTCCTGGTCCCTTATTTAGGTTTTCTAGATTCCTGCTATGAGTGAGACCATCCGGTATTTTTCTTTTTCTTTCTGGCTATATCCCCTTGGTTTGAATACATAATTGTGAGAATACAGATCATGAGAAATTAGTATTAAGCTTGATAATAGATATGTTATCCTATCTTTAAAAATAAACAAGTCAGCACCAAGCATTTGAGAATACAGCATGTAAGGTGACAGCCTGTACTTTACTGAGCGGTAATCCTTACTTTTACTATTTGGGGTCTCATTAAAGCTTTCACAGGTTAAGGATTTGCATTAGGAAGGAATAAATCACAGTTCTTGTATGACCAGGATGCTGTTTCTGACTGCATATTAATATCAAACAACTATGTTATCTGCCCAACGCAGTGCCATATTAACTTTAACAGCCTCTTCAAATAAGCATTCATCTTTGTGTATTCTTAGAATTATTTACCTCTCGTTTTTTCTTTTGTAAGTAGGAAAGAAATCTCATCTTAGGAAAACCACAGAGAAGAAACTCCCCACTAAACAAACCATTGCAAAACTACAGCAATCTGACATTTGGAAAATGGAGAATGAGTTCTATGAATTTGCATTGGAGCAGTTCCAGTTCATCAGAGCCCATGCCGTACGAGAAAAGGATGGAGATCTCTATATCCTCGCACAGAACTTTTTCTATGAAAAAATATACCCTAAATCGAACTGAATACAAGGTGAACTGAATATTAGGTTTTTGAACTAGTACATTGACCCTGTCTTCACCTTAGCTCTCCACTCCACAGCCTGGATTGCTGGTAGGTGGGTAAGACAAGTTGTTTTGAGCCAAGTTAGGAAACAGACAATTAACATCAAGAAAGTAGATGCTGGCTGGTATGGCGGCGGTCTAAATAGTTTAAGTTTCAGCCTTTTTTTTTTTCCCCTCTGGTTAAATTTTGGTAGGAGTTATAATCTCCTGCCCAGAAAAACTCTACACATCACCTAAACACATAACAGGTCTGATCGAAAGACTAAATAGTTTCAGAAAAAGTTCTGATTTTCTGATTTTGATGAAGCATTTTTTTTTTTTTTTAACTAACATAAATATGAATCATTTGCTATTTCCACCTTCACCTGGAGGTTTGGGTTATACACCTCGACTGAATAGTGTTATTACCTGTTTGGCCGTGTGTGCTTTGTTTTTGTGAATCACGTCTCATGAAATTTATTGGAATGTTGATCGTGTTTGCTAAGAAATGTTTCTGCTGTAGCTGGAATTGCCCATATATTTATGTAGGTCGTTTTTAATTTTCTTTCAGAAAATTGATAAGTGTTAAAAACCAATTTAAAGCATTACTAATACTGTAAAAAGAATCAAATCAGTATTTCTCATTCCTGTTTCCCCAATATTTAGGATTGGGGAGCCACTTCAAGAATGTTGACATTGCCTGAAGTTTTAGTTAAAGGCTTCCATTCATTAATATCAAAAAATCAAGTTTAGTATTTGTTTCTCCATGGGTTATTCGTAAAGCTGTAAACTGGGATATCGGTGATCCATATTATAACTACATTAGTGAGCTGTGGGATGGGTAGGATTTTTCCTACTTCTGTACTTTTACTTGTAGACTATTTTTACTAAGGTGCTTTATAATGTGTTTTAAAGCATTGCATTTACAAAAAATGGAAAATGCTGTAAATATTGCATATTTTATGTATTTGGACCAAAAGGTTATAGATAATTACACAAAAGTGGTTTTGCACCAATTTTATGTGAAGTAAAACCATCAGACCTACTGTTCTTATATTTTTCATTTAACTTAACTGTTAAGACATCACTGAAACGACCTTCAATAGCCTTTCAATTTTGATATATAGTACATTATTCATAATTGGGGGCAGTTGTTATAGTGGAAAGAGTGCTGGACAAGGAGTCAGAAACCTTGATAGTTCGTCCTGGCCCTGCCACTTGACAGCTGTGAGACCTTGGGCAAGTCACTTAACCTCACTTTGCCTCAGTGTCCTCATCTTGAAATGAGGATCATAATACCTGCTGTACCTACCTCACAGGGATGTTGTGAGGATTAAATCAGATGGCATGTGAAAGCACTTTGAAAACTGTAAAGCGCTGTATAAATGTAAGGTATTAAGGACACATCTTTAACATATAGTTTCATACCATTCATTTTTTTTTAACAGAGAAAGGGAAAAGTCCACCTATAAGCTGGTTGACGAAAAAGTTCATCTTGATATAAATTTTGTTTGATAAATATCTTCTCAGTGTTTTATCTTCCATGTTTCAACAGCTATTGAAATATGAAACACCTGTGAACTCTTGATAATTCACAAGCAGCTGCTTGAGTGCAGGGGTTCCCTGCTTGAAAAAGACTTCATTAGCAACTCGAGGCAGGGGAACATTTGCTCTTCAAATTTGGAAATTTTTCTCATTTTATTTTACATCATATTCCGAAATGTTGACTGTTTTGTACTTCTAGTTTTTAAGGTATATTTTACTGTTTAATGCCCTGTGCATTCTTTCCCTTCTTAGGCTAACAAAGAATTTTGGAAATGTTTTCTATTAAATAATAATCTTTAATATGTTTAGTTTAAATATTCTTGAAAAAGTTTTTGCCAAACTAAGCATTTTAGGCAGGTTTCTTTAAAAGTTATTAATTATATGAGAGGCAAGGAGGAAGCATTAATCAAAAGGCGTCATAAATAAATTTAAAGCAAAGCTACAGCAAATTGACAAAATCATTTTAGCATCCCCCATCAGACAAGATAATCAGAATCAGACAGGTGTGCTTTACTTATTTGACTTTCCTCTCCCTTCTCTCTTCCTCCCTTCCTCCCTCCACTGATACTCACTTTTACAGATATTTGTTGAAAATGTATGCAAATCATTTCTTTCCCCAAAAGTAAATAACACTTCAAGGTGGAGGACATCTGACATTTATCTGCCAAGGGTCCCCAGTCTTCAGTAAGAGGTTATTTTTGGAGTCCATGCTAAAATCTTCAGGTGCATTAACTTTTTGAGTAGAATGCCATGTAGTGCACTAGATCAAGGGGTCAGTAGAATTTTCCTATAAAGGACCAGAGGGCAAATGTTTTAGATGTTGTGGGTCACACAGTCTCTGCCACAACTATCCAGCTCTGCCGTCAGCACAAAAGCAGCCGTGGTCACTTCATAAGAGAAGGCGCACGGATGGCTGTGTTCCAGTGAAACCTTGTTAAGAAAACAGATGACATTCACGATATGGGCTATGGGTTGTAGTTTACCAAACCCTGTAACAGAGAAATCATGATTTATGGAGAAATCATTTTTGAATCCTTACTAGAGAGGCCAAAAAGAGTTCATATACTTCCAAAAGCTCCTAACTTCGAGCCAAAGGATAGCTTTCTAATTCAGGTGGTGTCTCCCACAGATTCATAAACCTTTATGACTTAGATTGCTTCCAGGTGGCATGTTTTCTTCCCCATTTAACCGTTCAGAAGAAGGGCATTTATTCTGTCATTTTTTTAAGGGTGGTTTAGACATATCCTTCCTGGAGACCAATAAAGAGTTGGATTTAAGTCCATCTGGTCCAATGTAGTCCTAGGATTCTGACAAGTGCAGCATCCTTATAGTAGCTAACTTTATAATCAATGAAATAAATAGAACCACTGAGACAATAATGTATTTTTTTAAAGTGGCAAATGTGATTTTCTTTTTTTCAGCCTTTGTGCTTTTTCAGTATTTTGATCATAGGGAATTTTTTTTATAATACAAAAGCAGATTAACCACTGAATTTTAAAAGATAATGTTATGTGTGTATGTGTGTGTGTGTATATATCTATATATATCTATATATGTTATTTCCTGAGAGGAAAAAGTACCTTTTTGTTCAACTTGTATCAGCTGTTTTCTAATTGCTGTGAAATGGCAACTGTTGATAAATTATTGTGACTGTTTTAAAATGTAATGGGGAGGTTATATTTTTGTTTTACCCAGCTTTATTCTGTAAAGTATCACTTAAATATATCTCAGAGCAATGCTTAAATATTGCATGGGGATTACTTTTTCATCTTCCATACTAATTTGTGCAACTTTGAACATATCGGGTGCTTCTGGATTCCTGATGGTTGGATTTCAAATATTGAAAATCAAAGAACTTAAACTTACTGACTTTTAATCTTTAAATGTTATTTTTGATTCTTGAAATTCAGCTAATGACTATAATTTGAAATCTCTTGTTGCTCTCTCAATTTCTGTCCTATTGGAAATTCCTAAAGTTGTTAGTGCCATCAGTGATTTACAAACAGTATTTTGATATTGCAGATGATTTGCTCATTGTATTTGCATAGTTAGAAAGAAAATAGTTTGTAGACAATGAGTCTCTTCTTTTTCTAATAAAAAAAGAAAATTTCTAAAAGCACTAGAGAATTTAACTAAAGGCTGGTTCCCAAATGCATAGCTGGTATTTGAATTTATATTCAAATTCTACATAGAGCGCATCTGTGTAAACCATCTATCTGGGTTTTCCCATTGATCATTCTCAAACACACCTATGGCCCCAGAATCCTTTATTATGAGAAGCACCCGGTACTATAACCTTTCATGAAGTTTGTTTTTAATAGGCCCAGGTGCTTCTACTTTATGATTTGAAAATTTGCGTCTTCATAAATTAGTGCTATTTATTTTGAGAGGAAGCAGGGCAATTGCGGTTAAATTTTTACATCCATTCACCCTGTGCAAAGTTGTTGTCAGTGGAACTGCTGCTCAGTCAGGCAGCCTTTTGAGGGGAAAAGCAACTCTGTGAAAAATGCACTGCCAAATCAGCTCCTCTGAAGTGGAGCTTACTTTCTGATTTCCTGGGGTGGAAATTTTAGAGATTGAAATGGGCGATCAGTTAGTCAGATTTGTCCCATAATTTTAGTTCATGCAGCTCTGTGACCTTTGCAGTACTGTTTTTAAAAGGACCCTGATGGCAGTGATCTCTTTCAAAAAGCACTGCTTGTCAACCTGTGATGTAGACACACTGGTGCTATCTATCTGATTTTTTTCAGACAGCCTTTCTGTTACGAATCAGATAGGTGAGCGTCTGTAAACCAGTGTCGAATGTAATTTTATGAAACATGGATTGTGTATTTTGGCTTTATTTTGTGAATACACAAACAGTTAAACAGTGCCTTTTTTCCACTCACAGTCCATGTTGGAAGGTGCTCACTCCTTCCTCTGCTTTCTCTTCTCCCTCTCTTCTCCATTCAGTTGATACATTTATGCTTTACTGTTTCCAACTTGAAACAATTTTGTCACATCTGTCTGCTAGATAATCACTCCTTTTCCTTAACATTCTGCCAGCTTTCTGTTGTTGAAGTGTTTCAGTTGATTACCTGAAGCAAAAGCTATCAAATAAATACTCAGTGGGAAGGGGAAAACTGGTTTGGTGTCCTTTCTTAATATTTTCTCCTACCATAGCCTTGATGCTGATGGACATTTTTGATGGACCTTTTCCAGGTGGACACAGTATTCAGTGTTACCAGCTTAACTCTCAGATATTATTGCCAAAAGAAAGATCTATGTCTTTATTGGTCTCTAATGATTTTCTGGCTTATTTGTGACTGTATTTTGTCCAGACATGCCTCTACCTCTTCTCCTTTTTTGCTTTGTACTTTTATCATTGGCATTACATTTTTAGATAAAAATTTACAAGGGATACATAGGATACACACTTTAAAGGAAATGAGGGCGAGGCAGCCAACTTAAAAAAGGGAAAAGCAAAAGCAAAAAGTTAATTTCATTAATTTGTAGTGTGTAGTTGATTTTTTAAAAAGATTTTTTTATGCATATAAGAACTGGGGTACAGGCCAGAGGTGTGTGGGGGGGGGTGAGAGGATTCACCAGAGACAGAGTGGGGAGCAGTACAGGAGGATCTAATGAAAATGAAATACACTGCTGCGGGGAGCTGTGCCATGTGGGTCAGCTCCCTGGCTGGGGATCGAACTGAGGCTGCAGTGGCTGTGGATAGGTTTAAGGTGCTGAGACTTAACCCCTTGCACCACCAGGGAGGCCCTGTAGTGCTTAGGATTAGACGTGTCCGTAATGTTTCTCTAATGCACACTTCTAATTGCTTTTTTCACCCTTAAAGGAGGAACTGTCAATTGCGTAGATTTCCAATTCCCAGCTATTGGATGGTTGTTTTGATCAAGTCATTGATTCTTTTAATATTATATGATATTGGGTTAATTAATAATAGCCTAGTGATAAATTGTCTATTTTTCTTTTTTTTTTTAGTGATAAATTTTCCAAATAGGAAATTTGTTCTGTACCCACAGACACAGTCAAAATGGACCTTAATTTAGCAATGTGACTTTAGTAAATGGACAGAACAGTGCTGTTATAAAAGTTGGACAGACAGGTGCAATGTGCTGGCCGACTACTAACGGATAGCTTTTACATGGCTCTGTTGGAATATTGTTGAAAAATTGAAATGCCCTTCGGACTCTGCAGAATACTATTTGTATCACATTTTAGAAGCTATTCTTATAAATAGTTTCATGACTCCAAATTTTACTAACAACCTCTTAATGTCTCCTTACCTGCCTGTGGCATAAATATTCTTTATTCTGATACTTGCTACTGTTACCATCTATAAATTTCCTGAGAAGGATGTGGGGGGCTGTTCATTGTTCTACAAGACACTGGACTTGCTTATTCCAAAATGTGGGCTGTGTCCACCTATTATATATGAACAGTATGGGCTACCAAGTGGTATATATATATATATATATATATATGTATATGTATATATAACATATATATGTGTGTGTATATATCTCTCTCTATATATATATATATATCTATATATATATAAACTCAGGCTACTTGGAATAAAATGATTTGCATTCTTTCAACAAAAAGGAAACTATCCATATTCTGTAAGCAGAGGACATTTGCCTGAGATTTCAATTAGCCTTACCACCCCCACCTGTTACCTGGCCTTCCTAAACCTTGTTATGTCTCTTGTTACCGGCGACCACAGCTGTTGCACTCTGCAGCAACACAAAAAGTGACAAAAGGTATCATCAACAAAACTAACATAACTAGTTGAGCAAACAAAATTTTATGAAGTTTCTGTTCTTTAAGTAAGTTTTAAAAAATATTTCAAGTGCCCATTTAAGGCATGTCCATGCCTCTGCTCATTCAGGTTTTGTGAACTGGTTAGGATTTACAAAGACCCTCTCAGAAACTTCCCTGCTGCCCTGTGGCTTGACATCAAAGGCATCTCGTGAAGCACACCAACCAACTTGGGCCTCTGCCTTAGCTCAGTGTCTTCCTTGAATCTGGAACTTGAACAATAAATTTTATCTGCACCAAAAGCATTTATAGGGAAATAGAGGGGAAAAATGAATCATTTTGCAACTTAAGAGTTTCAAAGGTTTGGGTAACTAGATTGCTAGCACTGTCGCCTCCCTGTAATGCTTTAAAAAACAAAAAGGAACAGGAAGAGCTTTAAGTGCCAAGATCAACCCTTTGTCCTGGTTTTGTTGCTAAATTTCACCTTACATTAAACAAGCAACATAATGACAACTAATCTGAACTCTAAGAATGTTCTGCAGTTCCTCACCCTGAATTGTCCACCAGACTCCACAATCTTCCCCGGAAGCTGGGTGTCAGGCAGATCCAAAGCGTGATGATCCCAGGGTTCTAGACTGGTCGCTTCCCCCCACCCTCCTCCCTGTTCTTCCTTCTTTCCTACCTATGTTGTTCAATTTCTTAATAGATACAATATCAAAGGAACCTAGGATGTTTAAACTCCTCTAATTTGTGATTTTTAGAAAAGATTATGCCTACTAGCCCAAATAAAAGCTTCATCTTAGTGTCAAAATCTGGCAAAGGGTAAGGCATATTGTCTTCAGTGATCTGGCTTTTGAACTTTGATTTTCTTTCATAAATATGAGCGAATTTGACCTAAACAGGGTAGTCTTATGGCTCTCTAGAGATTTGTTCGAAGTGTCTGTGACAATAACATTTATTTTGTATCTGTTTTACTGACTCTAGGTGCCTCCTTGGTAACAGCCAAGTTGAGATGTAAAGAACAATGTAGAGTTTTCAGAGTCTTATGTGTTAGAAACTGATATTTTAAAGCATCTCTCAAACCTGACTGAAGTACACCTTTTCTGGGTAACAGGGCTCACCATTAATTCCATTTGAAGTGGGCAGAATCTTTCTGGAAATGGTTGACTGGAAATACGTGACATTTTATTCATCTAAGGGTAACTAGAGCCTTTTTTTTTTTTTCCTTTAAGAGTAATTTATATTATTCAGAGGATTAGCAATTAGATCTTTTGGCATAGTATGGTTTATCTGATCAGCCTGTCATGCCCATAAATGGTGAAAATTAAGGATGTTGATTCATTCATGTGTTTTTAAAGGAGGTGATGGACTTTAAACTGCCTTCTCTCTTTCTCACTTGTGTTTTGTGTCTTATGGGAGCTCTTCAAATAAAACCTCAGACAAGAAGAATGTTTAAAAAGTGGGCCAGTTATATTTTTGCTTTTCTATTTCTACCATGCTAATGGCTCCCTACTTGATCATTTAAACACTGATCCAAATCCAGATGGAATTGGATGCCCCTTCCTGCAGTCAGGCAGTCTGTAATGTTTGATACGGATCTTCAGAGTGGACAAGATGAGATTAGATTGGTCTCTCTGGGAGCCAACACTATTCATTTTGTAAGAAAGTTATACTGAAGGCCTGAGGACTGCCAAGAGCAAAGTGGAAACAGCCCAGCCTTTTCCTCTTATCAAGATCCACAGTTGGTTCCACATTAAGCAGCGAAGCACTCTGGTAAAAGGATTTGAATAATGAATTGGATCAGAAGCGAAGAAGGAGGTTCTTGCCACCCACGATTGGAATATGAATCTCATGTGTTGCAACTTTATTACCATTTTTTTGTTTTAATGCATGACAAAGACAGAAATCTCTGGCATGGAGTCAGTGGCTATTTTTAGATACTGGGGTTTTTTTTTTTCCATTTAATTAATATTTATTTTGTGACAAGCACTACGCTACAAACCTCTCTGTGCACTGTGAACTTTAACCCTTAGAATAATCCTCATATATAATCCTTTACAATTAATGTTATACGTTTAAGGCAATTGAAGATTTCTCTTATGAAATGGCCACTTGGAAGGTAGATAATTTCACCCTCACAACTGAGGGAATTGACACAAGTGCTAAGGTGAAGTGGGGTTCACCTAGCCCTCATGATTCTAGTCCACCAGACTCTGATGCCCTGTCTGCTATGTTCCTATCTCACCAAGTAAACTAGGGCTTTAACTTAGATTGACAGTTGCAGGGGTTTGTAAGTGTAGTCCTGTGTCTGGATCGGTAGCATCAGATCGCCTGGAAATTTGTTACAAGGCAGATTCTTAGACCTCAGACATTCTAGTAGGATCAGCAATCTGTGTGATAATAAGTCCTGGTTCTGACTCAGGCTCAAGTTCAAGGACCAGTGGACTGGAACCAGCTTATAATGAGATAACTGAAGCTCAGCTAGGTAAAGTAACCCATTGAAGACCTCTCAGAACAAAGAAGTTGTGAACTAGGATGTGAATCCAGCTCCTTCTGGCTCCAGTGCCATCTCTTTTCTGTGTTGGGATACGTGGATTATGGGCCATGTAGGTTATGTGTTAATCTATGTGGATTAACAATGAGAAATGCCTTGTAAAAGAATTTTGTCCTTGTTCAAATGTCAAAGAGCTGTTACACAAACTTAGATTCCATAACCTACTAAATCCTAACTGCTATAGCCTACTACACCCCTAGCTATATATGATGTAGGCTTATTGGGTCCACCGTTATAGATGCAGTCCATTATTCACCAAAACATCACTAGGTGATGCATGACAGTATAGTCTAGGATTTTCCATTCTTTTTTTTTTTTTTAAGATTGATTGATTGATTTATATAAGCACTGAGTACAGTCAGAAGCACAGGAGGGTGAGAGAATTCACCAGAGCCAGAGCGGGGAGCAGAGCAGGCAGAAGGACCGAAGCACACTGCTGAGGGGAGCAGCGGGCGGCAGGAGAGGTCTGCGCGCCATGTGGGACCCTCCTTCGGTGGCCAGGGAGCAGCCGGGGATCGAACCTGTGCTGCAGAGGCTGCGGGCAGCTTCACAACCCAGCGCTCAACCGCTGCGCCACCGGGGAGGCACCCGGATTTTCCATTCTTGATGAATTCCTTTCTGAAATACCCTATGGGGCAAAAGAGAATAGGTCAATAAGAAGGGCTACTGGGTTGTTCTGGAGCAAGTTGCAAATTCTCCAGCTAGTGAGTTTCCACTTTCTGCTTGAAATGAACATAGGGTAGACCTCAGAATGGCTACTAGAATCCCCAAGACAGAATTCAGGATTGCAGCCAACATAGCTACCTGGAGTAAGCACATTCACCAGGAACATTTCAGACCCAATGTTTCTTGGTTACTCTTAATGGTTTCCTGTGGTGGATTGAATGAAAAGAGGGCTCTTTGCTCCCTGCCTTACAATATCTGTGGAGCTATGGGTTGAAGCAGTGTGGGAATACCTGCAGCTACTTTGGAAGTCCCTAGGGCTGTCCTCATGTCAGTGTCTTTACAGCTGAGATTCGTAGCTGTGGCCACATGACCTCTTCCAGCTGTGTGGCTTCAACAGAAGTGCCCACCTGTTTCTCATAAGTGCCAACTGCATTTTCTCCAAACCAGGACATAGTTCAGAGTGCAAGGGACTTCAAGGGAAAGCAGAACTGCTCCCCCATCCTGCACGGCAGGCTGCCCCACAGGCTGTGGCGATCAGCAGAGAAACAGCCCAAGCCATCGGCACCTTGCACT